GAGAGGAGGAGGAGGAGGAGGAGGGAGGGGAGGAGGAGGAGGAGGAGGAGGAGGAGGAGGAGAGGAGGAGGAGGAGGAGGAGGAGGAGGAGGAGGAGGAGGAGGAGGAGCAGGAGCAGGAGCAGGAGGGGGAGGGGGAGGAGGAGGTGGGAGGAGGAGGATGGAGAAGGGGAGGAGGAGGAGGAGGAGGAGGAGGAGGAGGAGGAGGAGGAGGAGGAGGAGGAGGGGGAGGAGGAGGAGGAGGGAGGAGGAGGAGAGGAGGATGAGGAGGAGGAGGAGGAGGAGAGGAGGAGGAGGAGGAGGAGGAGGAGGAGGAGGAGGCAGGAGGAGGAGGAGGAGAGAGGAGGAGGAGGAGGAAGAGGAGGAGGAGGAGGAGGAGGAGCAAGAGGAGAAGGAGGAGGAGGAGGAGGAGGAGGAGGAGGAGGAGGAGGAGGAGGAAGGACGAGGCCCGACTAGGCCCGGCGAGGTGCGGGGGCCGCGTGTGGAGCGCAGGGCTCGCGCTCGTGGGCGCCCGCGCCTCCGTCGCGTCGCGAGCCTCGGAGGAGGGGTCGGCGGCGCTGGACGCCTGTCGGGCGGCGGCCTCCTCTTGTCGGGTCATTGGCCCCAGATTTTTTGCCACGTATTGGTCGACTGCACTCAAGTCCGGCATGTCCCTCTACGGGAGGAATATGCAAAAAATAGTCGAAGAGTAGTGCTGGGACGATTTTCTCATCATTTTTCGAGTATGTTTGAATCTGTTTTGAATCTTTTTGGAGTGTTTTCGAGCTTTCCTCCCAAATCCGCCTGTAGGGGGACACGCCCGACCTAACCCCAGATTTTCTGCCACGTATTTGTCGACTTCACGGGGAGGCTTGTCCAAGGGGAGTCTTGGACAACACGTATCGACTACACGTGTGGAAGAAAGCGTATCGACTATTCGTCCAGGAGCACACGTATCTATCGACAGTGCACGTGTGGAAGAAGAATGCTGGGGAGGCTTGTCCAAGGGGGGTTGTTCGGTGGGGTTGTCCGGATCCCCGCTGGGTCGTCCAAGGGGTTGTCTGGGGTAGGCCGCCGTGTCGTCATTCATCAGTGGGGGGTTGTCCAGGGATTCTTTTTGATTGGATTACTTTTCCGTTGAACGTAGTAAGAGTGACCCTTCGCCAGAGTGACCTTTGGTGCGGGCTCACACGGGTCCCACCAGCATTGGCCTGCGCGCTTGGCTTTGGGCTACCCGTGGCCCCCTAGAGCTGCGCACCAATGGTCACTCTTTCCTAGGGTCACTCTTGCGTGTAGTCAATCAGCGGCCCCATGCTCGCGTCGTACAGAAACCGTCAAAGAGCGCCTCGGTATGAGAAATCTGGCCCCCTGGGGAACGGGTTGGAACTTCCTGGTGCCCCGTATGGCACAAATCAGGACGTCGCACGTCTAGCTCTCCATCTCTCCCCAGACCCCCTGAGCATTTTTTGATAAGAAGCGCCTCGCTCCCAACTCTCAGACGATGGTATGATTCTACGGTTTCCACCTGGCTTTGGGCCAGGATCATATGATTCGGCGATCTGGGCCTTAATATCGAGCCTCCAGGGAAGGGACTGGGACCCTCTGAGCATGTTGTGAGTAGATTTTGGCAAGTCTGCTCGCATGGCATTCCCTCCCCCCGTAAGGCCAACTTTTGGTTCTATTTGACGATGTCGTTTCCTTCTGTTTCTGTTCCTCTTTCTCTTACCTTCTTGCTGACGTTGATTCTTCCTCCTCATGACGTTGCCGATCTTGCGTTCCGTCGTGGCGGTCTCATATAACAGTGCTCGTCTTTGAGGAGCCCCCCCCTCTCCGCCGCCGTTTCAAGCAGCGCTCGGCCGAAAAGACGTCCGGGCGAGTCCCGGCTTGCGTGAAGTCCACATTCCCTTTCGGGCTTCGCCGTGCCCCCTCCTCCATCATCCATGCAGTTAAAAACCTGCCGGAGTCTAGAGACAAACTGCCTCCCTCGGGTGAGGAACATATCGCGGCGGGGGCATTTTTTGAACGTCTTCGGCCCCGGGACCGTCAGAGTACGACTCGGGATGGGAAGCCTGTCCCCGCCAGGCCTCCCTCCTTCCGTCCGACAGGGATTCGAAACAAGAACGGCGCAAACACGAATTGTCGGATCTCCGCGCGGAACTTTCGGAGCTTTTCGCATCGGCGCTGGAACCCCTTGGCGGCGCCTCTGGCGCCGCCCCTGGTGCGCTCCGCGTGCCAGGTGTGTGTGTGTGTGTGTGTGTGTGTGTGTCCAGCGCCGGGCCAGGGAATCCACGCGGAGCTCCGAAAGTTTCGGCTTACGCTGTTTCTTATTCGTTGGCTGGCGCCGCACCGCCGACCCCTTGGGGCGGCGGTAAGAGTGAAAAACGGAGTTTGCGGAACGCACGCGATTTCTGGGGAATCTTGGGGTTTCAGCTTCTTGGGATTTCTTCTGGTGCGGTCGGCGGATCGCGGCTCTGCTCTTGGGCTTCTGGGCTCTCCTGGCAGCACTTCTGAGGCCTCTTGGGACCTGTGTTGAGGCCTCGAGGGGCCTCTTGTGGGCCTCTCGGGGGCCTCGTGGGAGCCTCTTGGGGGCCTCTTGGCGCCTCCTCAGGTTTTTTTCGGGGCCGATGGCTCGAAATGCTCATTCGGGTTCCCCCTTTGGGCCCCCTCTTGGGGCCGTCCTGAGGCCCTCTTGTGCTGTTTTGGAAGCTTCTGGGGCCGTCTTGGGGCCCTCTTGGGCCGTCGTGGAGCCCTCTTGGGGGCCTCTTGGGCTATCTTGGGTCGATATTGAAGGATTCTTGGGCCGTTGTGGGCCTCGTGAAAACAAACCCAAGGGGCGAATGTGCTAAAAATGTACGTTTTCCCTAAGGAATGGGACGAATTTTGCTTCTGGAGGGCCTCTTGGGACGCCTGTTGGTGGCCTCTTGGGGTGTCTTGGGGGCCTCTGGGACCGTCTGGAGGCAATCTGTCTGGGGCGTCTTGGAGCGATCTCTCGGCGACTCGTAAACATCTTGGACCGTCCGACGGGGCCTTTTGGGGTCCTCTTGGCCCGTTTTGGGGCACCCTGAGGCTCCAAGGGTGCGCCCAGCACCTTTGCCCCCCTCCCCCCCCCCCCCCACCTCCCCCCTCCAAACGGACCAGACCGGGCTCCCTGGTGAGGGGTATGGGGAGGGGGAAGCATCTCACACGCCGTGACCCAAAGGGGTGGGCGGATTCGTCTAAGAGACCTGGTGAGACAAACCTGGACACGGGTGACACGAGGAGCGGGTCCTGCTCCACCTTCTCCCGCGAATATGTCTTATTTTCACCCTCTTCGTTTTCGTCCTCATCTTCCCTCTCCTCATCCTCCTCTTCTCTCCGCCTGGTCCTTCTTCCTCGCACCTCCTCTTCCTCCCTCACCCAGTCTCCCTTCCCATCCCCCCTGCCTGGACCTTATGGACAGCGAGCGTCGGAGCCGCTTCGAGCGTGGCGTCTATCCCGGTGAGCTCGCGGAGGGAGGTAGTCTTGGAGAGCTGGCTCTCGAGGACCTCAGTCTCCTCACCGAGTCTGGCGAGGGTGCGATGGCCCAGGCCGCCCCCGACAGCCAGCACCGTCAGCGCTCATCCCCCCCTCTTCACTCCCCCCCTCCGATCCCTCCTCTTCCTCCGCCTCCCCCTTCCTTCTCTTGGCCCTTCTACACTTGGCTGCGGCGGGTGCGTTTGAGTTTGGCCGAGGCGGGTTTTGTTTTACACCTGGCAGAGGCGGGTGCTCTGGGCCCCCAGGTGGCGGAAGTGCTAGGTTGCGCCACCCTGAGGCCCTCTCTCCCTCCACGACTCCCCCGCGGCTTCACACTTGGCCTATGCAGCTCCTCCTGGCCCTTCTGCCTCTCCCCCTTTCTCCCCGCGCCCCCCGCCTCCGGAGGCCCTGGCCGCCAGCTCCTCTTGGCTCGGGCCGCCCCTGATCGAGGCCGCTGCAGCCCCCCATACCTGGACTTCCTCCGATGGGTTTTCTTCGGCCCGTGCCCCTGTCTCACGAAGCACGCATCGTGTCTCCTGAAGTGTGCCTGCACCCCGGGCTCCGCCCGCTCCGGCCGCCTGAGGAGGAGGAGGGGGAGGAGGAGGAGGAGGAGGAGGAGGGGGAGGAGGAGGAGGAGGAGGAGGGGGAGGAGGAGGAGGAGGGGGAGGAGGAGGAGGAGGGAGGAGGGGAGGAGGAGGGGGAGGAGGGGGAGGAGGAGGGGGAGGAGGGGGAGGAGCCCGCCTGGCTTTTAGCGGAAGAGGTTCGCTCTCGCCTCGCCGGCCAAACAAAGTGCCTCCTGCTGAAGTGCTGGCGCGCTTGGACCCCTTCAGACCTACGCGCTGCCTTCGACGGCTGCGCCAGCAGGCCCGCCCGCGGCCCGAGAGGCCCCGACCCCTGCCCCAGGGCCAGCGCTTCCTCCCAGATCCATGTTGGTCGGGGGCGGAAAAGAGGGGGGTGATGACTGGGGGGGGGGGTGGATATCATGGCGGGGGCCATGATATTTCCCCAGATTTCATGGCGCCTCTTCTTATTTCATTACGTCCCTGGCCCCCCCGCTGGGCCGCGCACATGCCGCCGGTTATGATTTGCACCCCCCCTCTTGGACACCCCCCTCTTGGCCGCTCCCGAGTTGGGGTGGCCCTGCGGCCCGAAGACGACCCCAGAAATAGTTTGTCGCCTCGGATTCCTCCTCCAGGGCCCCGGGGTCCGACAGGGCCCCCCCCAATGGGGCCAGCATCGAGGAGACACCGGCTCCGCTGCTGGCGCTCCTGCCGAGGGCGGCCCCCGGGGGCCGACGCTGAGGACACCGCCAGTCAGGAGGCAGACACAACTCATCGTCGACTCCCAGGAAAATATGGGAAAACATGGGAAGTGTGTGGGGGGAAGACAGCAGCCCAGAAGACATGGGAAGATATGGGGAATGTTTTTATATTTGTGTGTATTTAACTTTGTGTGTCCCAGGGCCCCTTCTGCCAGGGCTGCACAAAATCACACCGTCGGAGATCTGGGTGCAGCGCAAGTCCCCCCCCGATGTCCCGCGCTGGCGGCGGTGGCGCGGCGGCCCGGAGCGCTCGCGGCGATGGCCGGCGCGGGCGGGCGGCGTGGCTGCCGGGGACGCAAGGGCCCGGGCCAGTGCGAACCCAGGTCAGTCAGGCCTGGCAGGGCCCTGCAGGATCCTGCGCGCCGGTCCGGGTCAGTGCAGCCCTGGCTTTGCAGGATCCTGCAGGAGCCGGCGCTCTGGCTGACCTCCGCTCGCACGGACCCCCGTGGGTGTGCGGCTGCCGAGGCTGTGCGCGCTGCCGTGGTTTGTCGTCGACCTTGCCGCCGCGGAGGCGGGCGGGATGCTCTGCTCCCCGCGCGGCTCGGGCTGCCTCCTCGGCTCCGCGGGTGCCTCCTCGGCTCCTCGCTCCTCGCTCCTCCTCGGCTCCTCCTCCTCGGCTTTTCCTCATCCTCGACTCTCCTAGGGTCTTCCTCGGGTCCTCCTCCTGGGGTCCTCCTCCCCGATCCTCCTCCTGGGGTCCTCCTCCTCCTCCTCCTCCTCCTCCTCCTCCTTCTCCTCCTCCTTCTCCTCCTCCTCCTCCTCTTCCTCCTCCTCCTCCTCCTCCTCCTCCTCCTCCTCCTCCTCCTGGTCGTCAAGGGATCACTAATTCGCTGCCACTTGGCCTTCTGGGGTCCTCCTTCTCCTTCTCATTCCTCCTGGTTCTTCCTCCCTGGAGGCCCACGTCACAAAAAGACAGCCGAAAGTACCATGTCGCTGGAGAGCACCAGAGCCCGTCCAGCCGTCCAGAGACCGCCGAGGCGCTGCCGAAATCGTCGGAGGCCTCCGAAGGTCATCCCGTAACGCCTCCACGAAAAGCCGCCGGCCGGGGCCCGTCAGAAAGCCTCGCCCTCCTGGCCCCATCGCTTTCCCTTTCGCCGCACATCAACACACGGCATAAGCATCCTTTCTCGGAGCTCCGCGCAGATTTCTTGGATCGTTGCTGGGCCCCGTGGGGTCTTGGTGAGCCACGTGGGAGCCTCGTGGACGCAGTCTTGGAACCTCTTGGGGCTCGTTTCAGGGGCTCTTGGCGCGTCTTGGGAGCCTCTTGGGGGCTTTCTGGAGCTTTTTGGAGGCCTCTTGGGGCCTCCTGGGTGCATCTTGGGGCGGACGGCTCGAATGGTCGGCTGGGGATCCCGCTCCCGAGCCCCTCTTGGGGCCGTCTTGAGGCTCTCTGGGGCCGTCTTGCGCGCTTCGTCGTCCGTTTTGGGGCCTTTGGGGCCGACTTGGGGCTCCCGGGGGAGCTTCTTGGGCTGTCCCGGGGGCGGTCCGCGGCCGTCGTCAGCGCCGTGAAGGGCCGAAAGGGCGCATATGCCAAGCAGGCACGCTTTCCGATAAAGTCGGGCGACGAAGTCTATACATATCCACTGCTCCCTGACCATGCCCATCTTGAACCCAGGAGCTGTGTATGCGCCCTCCTGGCCAAGCCAGGAGGGCGTGGCGTATACACCGCTGCGGGGTTGAGGATGGGCCTGGCCTGGGAGCAGTGGATATGTATAGATTTCGTCGCCCTATAAAGGGGAGTTTCGCGGTCTTTGTCCCTTGGGGCCATTCTGGCAGTGCTCTCGGGGGCCTCTCGGGGCGTCCTGGAGGCTTCCTGGGCCGTCTGCCATCCTCGGCGTCCTGGACATGTTCGCTCGGTCACCCAGAGCTCTCTGGAACCGTGCTGGGGACCTCTTGGGGTTCTCTTGGCCCGTCTTGGGAGCCCTCTGTGCGTCCATGGTGCGTTCGCGCCGGGCGAGGAGCGGAGGTCAAACTGCCAGTTTGGGGTCCCAGGGGGGGGGGTGATTATTGGGGGAAGAATCTAGCACGACGAGAGACCCACAAGAGGTCGACGGATTTTGGCCCTGTGGGGCCTTTTCGAGAGGGCGTTTGGCGCCCTGTTGGGGCGTCTTGGACGCCTCCTTGACCGTCTTGGGGCCGTCGTGGGCGTCTCTGGAGCGATCTTTGGGCGTCTCGAGGCCCTCCTGGACCACCCTGGGGGTCCCTTGGGGCCCTCTGGGCCTGTCCTGGTGCCCTCTTGGCCCGAGCAGGTCGCGCGGGGAGACGATCCAGGGCCCCGGGGGCATGCGGGTGGAGGAGGAGATGATGATGATGATGATGATGATGATGATGATGATGATGATGATGATGATGATGATGATGATGATGATGATGATGATGATGATGATGATGATGATGATGATGATGATGATGATGATGATGATGATGATGATGATGATGATGATGATGATGATGATGATGATGATGATGATGATGATGATGATGATGATGATGATGATGATGATGATGATGATGATGATGATGATGATGATGATGATGATGATGATGATGATGATGATGATGATGATGATGCTGATGATGATGATGATGATGATGATGATGATGATGATGATGATGCTGATGATGATGATGATGATGATGATGGTGATGATGATGATGATGATGATGATGATGATGATGATGATGATGAGGATGAGGAGGAGGAGGAGGAGGAGGAGGAGGAGGAGGAGGAGGACGAGGAGGAGGAGGAGGAGGAGGAGGGAGCCGCGTTGGGCCCCGGAAGATCCGGCAGTGCGCGGGGGGTCTGGGCCCCAGAGAGACTCTGCAGGACCGAGGCCCGAGGCTCGGAGGGATCAGGCAGCGGACCTGCGCCCGCTCCGTGCCCAGAGGCACGGCGGCGGGTTTGCTGGGGCACGCCCTCGTTCTCTTCGTCCTCGTCCTTGTGCTTCTCTTCCTCCTCGTTGTCCTCATGCTCCTCCTCGCTATCCTCACGTTCGCCACGTCGTCCTCGTCATCGACTCCTCGTTGTCCTCGCCCTCCTTTTCTTCGTCGCCCAATACGCCCATTTGACCACAGCGGCGCTTCCCGTTCTTGTCCGATCAGGTTTGTTGGGGCACATCTGCTTGTCTATCTCATGTTGAAGAGTGATGCTTTGGAGAGCTTCGCCCACCAGTCATTCTGGACGGCTTCTGGCGCGCCCGCGCGGCGGCCCCAGCATGTGGCCCGCGAGGTTGTTTTGGATGCGATTTCGTGTGCTGGGCGCGAGCTGGATCCACGCGGACGCACCGCAAGTCGAGCTGCGAAGGCGGGCTCTGTACGGGATTGTGTGAGGCCGCCGAACTCGCATACGAGTTCTTCGGGAATCAGCGATTTGGGCTTCTTCGGATCCCACTTGGGGCCCTCTGGGAGTGCGTCGCCGTTCTGAGGCCACCCGCGGTCGTCCTGGGCCATCCTGGGTGGTCTTGGCCGTCTTGGTGGCCTGCCGTGGCCGGCTTGGAGGCTCGGGAGCGCGGGTCCGTTGCGTGTTCACCAGGGATCGTCCCCCCGCCTCCTCGCCGACGCTCCTCCTCCCCCTTCCCCTCGTCCTCCTCCTCCTCCTCCCTCTCCTCCCTCTCCTCCCTCTCCTCCTCCTCCTCCCTCTCCTCCTCCTCCTCCTCCTCCTCCTCCTCCTCCTCCGCGGACCCATCGTTTTTTACCAGGGGGCTGAACTTGGGAGAGGGCGAGGCACGCAGCACTCCGGCCAGAAGAGGGGAGGGGGCTCCCGAAGGATGGCGCGGAAGCGCCACCGGACGGCTCTTCGCATTCTGCCACGCCTCCACGTGCCAGGGGGGTACGGCGGCGGATTGTGTGCAGCGTGGGCGTGGAGCGCGCGCACGCGTGGAGCGGCAGCGTAAGCGTGAAGCGTGAGGCGCGAGCCTGAAGCGCGAGCGCGGCACGGCACGGGTCAGGAGCGCGTGCGCGAGCGTGTAACGCGCACGCGTGCTGGCAGGCCACCCCTGTTTGGTGAGAGCCCTGGCATGGCACAACAACGCTTGTCTAATCTACTGCCTGGAGCCTGCGACCAGAACCCCAGATGGGTACGAGTAGCAGGCATGCGCGTTAAATTTTCGCAATAGCCGTTATGCATCAAAACGCACGCCTCCCGTGACAAGGCGAGAAGCGTGAGCGAAAAACACCTTTCACCAGCGCTGCGACAAACAACCCGTTGTTGTTTATGTTTGCAGCTGCTAATTCTTGTGCCTATCCCTCACGCGCTTACACCACGAGCAAGCTCAATTCGAATCTGCGATTTTATTTCATCGTCCAGTCCACCGCTGTCGTCCTGCAGATTGTCCCGTTATCGTCGACATGCAAGTGGTCTCTCGGGAAGTGGCCTTGGTCCTGTCCAGGTAGGTGATCAGGATTGGAACCCGAAGTTTGCGTTGCGTTTCCTTGCCTTGCCTGAGCGCTGATCCTGAAGTTCGCATGGCCGACCCACTCGTCTGTAGCAGTCCATGCAGCTTGGTCCCCGACCAGCGCTTGCATTCCGGGGTTCGCGCTTCGGCTGCTCAAACCGGGTTCCCCGGGAGGAGGAGGAGGAGGAGGAGGAGGAGGAGGAGGAGGAGGAGGAGGAGGAGGAGGAGGAGGAGGAGGGGGAGGAGGGGGAGGAGGAGGAGGAGGAGGAGGAGGAGGAGGAGGAGGAGCACCCGCTCGTGGGCGCCTCGCGGGCGACCCGCGGGCCGGGCCGGTCTCCAGACGCCTCGCCACGCCGGCGCCCTTTTGCCCGCTCGTGGGGCGCCACTGCGGGCACCCCGTGCGCGGGGCGGGTTTTTCCAGAGGGTCCCGCCACGTTGGCGTGGCGCCCGTGCCCGTTCGTGAGCGCCGCACGGCGCTGCATGGCCGGCACCGCACAGCTCGCACGTCGTAGCTCCCACCACGGAGCTCACACGGCCTGGCCCAGGCCGCGTAGCTTCCGCCGCATGCCTTGCAGAGCACAGCGTGGCACTGCACATCGCACACACACACACGCGACACACGCGACACACAATCTGAAACAGATCGTGCACATCCCATAGACACAACATATGTCACACCACATAGCTCACGTCACATGGCTCACACACCACAGCTTGCATCACGTAGTCTACATAACATAGCTTACACCACTTGTACCGCGCCTACAGCTCGCGCCACATCGTTCACACAACGTAGTTTGCACTACATAGCTTGCACAACGCATCTTGCATCACTCAGCCCACACCGCATAGCTTACACCGCATATCGTCCACCTCTACGAGGCAATCGTTCACGGTTTGAGGTCCACGCTGGCTGATATCTCATCTCTTCGCCCCAATGAAAGCTCACGATTGGGGTTGCGCCACGTCTAATTGGCATGGACTCGGGATGGTTTGGGCTAGTCCCCTTCCTCATTACCCTCCACACTTCCGTTCCCTACCCCTGCCCCTCGTCCTCCCTCTTTTCTCTGACCTCTGATCTCGCACCCATGCGATTCTTCCTCCTAGAGCACTTCCTCCTCTGTCCCGTTCTCCCGTTCCTTCCTCCAGGACTCGTCCTTCTTCTCTTCCCTCGACTCCTCGTCGTCGTCGTCGTCCCAGGATTGCGCGGAGACGCATGACGAAGAGTGCATGCAGAACAAGCCGCGTATTTGCAGAGAGGTATGGGACACCTTCGAGTGGATGGCGACAGACGATGCAAAGAAGGATTGGCTCGCAGAGCACAACCTCGACGGCATTATGGACACGAGTCACATGCCGCCGGAGGGTAAAACTTTCAAGCAGTGCTGCGCACTGGACGAGGGTCAGCGCTGTTGCACTACCAGTATTCTTGGCGAGGTATGTTTTGTCGAGGAGTTAAGCATGATTTCAGCAGGTGGTTCGAGTGGTGTGCTGCTGGGGGTGTACGCGCCTTTCGTTTTGTCTATGGAAGAACTGGCCCCGGGTTATTTCGTGGCGTTCTTCAGAGGTGGGGCCACGATGGACCATGGCTCGTATTGGGAAAATGCGAGCGTTGTTCTGCCGAGCGCAGTCAACGCGACGGGCCCAGCAAGCAGCACCCCCGCCAGCCGATATGTGTTCTTGGGCCAGGAGGAGGACATTCCCCCCCCTGCTGCAACGCGAATGCTGACAGATAATTCCACAGCCGAGCTTGGGGGATCTAAACAGATGTGTCGCGTGGACAACGGCACAAACAGATGCTGCAACGCGAGCTCTGACGATCTTGGCGTCTACCGTTGTCGAACAAGTTTCGGCACCGAGCTCAGCTTCGACCGCGTGACCCAGCGCTTCTCCGCCCGTGATGGTGCCGTGGGCGTGGCAGACGTGTACGACATGCTGGTGGCCCAGGTTGGATCCGGCAGGTTCGCGTGTGCTTTTGGTGGGGGGAGGTTCGTAGAGCTGACTACTATCTCGGATGATGAGTGGGCAGCCTTTGCATCAGACGAGGTGATACAGGTACTGCGCATGACCAACAACAGTGGCTCGCCGGTCACGGAACCGACCAATGCCACCATGGTCATGCCTGCCAGCAGTCCTGGGGACGAGTCCGAAATCACCAATTTCGGCGACGCTGCACTTACGGAATCGACCACCGACGCAGCAGCTACGGGATCGACCACTGACATCATGGACGATCCCATCGATGTAGTTCTCAACGATCGGGGGGACGAGTCCGCCATGACCAACTTACACGGCGCAGTAGTCAAGGAGCCAGCCAATTATTCACTTAACAGTTCCATCGAGGGAACTGCCATCCATGTGGGGCACAAATACGTTAGGCTCCCTTCCAAGTACTCAGCCGTAGCGAGATCGTCAAATCTCGCCATCGACAGTGTCGTCGCTGGAATAGCCAATCATTCGGGGAACGAGTCGGCTGCGGAGCTGGCCTTGAGGACAATTCATGCCTTTTCGAACGAGACGGTGCCTATACCACACCGCTTCGCGAGGGGCACGGCTGGACGAGCCCTCTATCCTTTGGCGGTCGTGAGCTGATCGGACACATTGGATGCGAGGCGTGATCTAGCCATCAGTTTCGCGCGCGTCCGTTTCTTTTCCTCCTGCTACTCCTCCTCCTCTCGAGGGAAGAAAGACGGGGACCATGACCAAGATGTCGTGGCATATTGTCGATACCGATCTTGGTCATGGTCCATGTCGGTCGTCGCCCGCTCGGGAGGATGATCTGCGAGTTGGCGCCGACCTATATAGACGGTGACCACGATCGACAAGACGTTTCCGCATTCAGTCTTGGTCATGGTCCCAGTTTTCTTCCCCCTCCTCCTCCTCCTCGTCCTCCTCCTCATTTTTTGTTTCTTTTCCTTTTTTATTTTCCCTCCTCCCCCTTCCCCTTCCCCTTCCCCTTCCCCCTCCCCTTCCCCTTCCTCCTCCTCCTCCCCCTTCCCCTTCCCTTCCTCCTCCTCCTTCCTTATTTTCTCCCCCTTCCCCTTCCTCCTCCTCCTCCTCCTCCTCCTCCTCCCCCAGTTTTTTTGTTTGTTTTTTCCTATATATTTTCCTTCTCCTCCTCCTCAGCCTGCCCAGGCCTCCGGCACCGTGAGATTTGTTTCCACCACGCGCACCCCAGGAGGTCCAGACCGTCGCCCCGTGACAGTTTTCGTTCCATCCGATAGGTCGTCTCGTTGACCGTCCCTGGGCCCGGTGGGGGCTCCCGGAGGCAGCAACAGGGGACAGTTTTTCCGTCGCGTTTTGTCTCAACGAGAC